ATAAAGAAATTAAAAAGAGGAGAGAAAAAGAGAAGATAAAATGTTTAAATGAAATCGCGTAATGAAAGAAAAACAACTGGCGACTTAGAATTAATATGCAATGAATAGGCAATTGTGAATGAGAGAATGAGTGGGAAAGGGATAAAAAAAGAGAGCCAGAAAGAGATAGAGAGAGAGAGAGAGAGAGGGAAAGAGGAGAGAGGGAGAAGAAAAAGAGAAAAAAGGCAGACAAAGAGAGAGAAAGAGAGAGAGAGAGAGAGAGAGAGAGGGAGAGAGAAAGAAAGGGTAGGAGAAGGACAAATTTGTACATTTCAATAATTACAACAATGAAATATTATCAATGAAGATGATAATAAATTTATTGTATCATGATAGAGAAAAAGTAAGAGAGAAAAAATAGAGAGAGAGAAAGAGAGAAAGAAAGAGAATGAAAGAGAGTGAGAGAGAGAGAGAGAGAAATGAGAAAAATATCATAACAAAAAAACAGAAATAAATAATTACGACCAAGTGACCTAGACAGGCAGCTGCCTAACTGCCTATGGCGACACTTTTTCAGATGTAGAATTTTCTCGAAAGTTCACCAACATTTTTTAGATGTCTTTGACTAGATTTAAAGTAGCATACCTTTCAGGCGGCTGGAGTAATTTTTCAATCCATGTAAAGTGATTTCATCGTGAATTCTTCAGGAAGGACAAGATGGGCGAGGAGGGCACGCCGTCCTTTCTCCGGATTTTCTATTTCATTCACACTGATACAGTTTACGACGACGAACCATCAACAACAAAAGCTAAATGTTGGCACGGGATCTCTCCGATGCAACCATTCCCGATGAATATTCTTACAAATGGTTATGGTATCCAAAAACTTAATTGGCAGTTGAACTGGGTATTCTTGAATGGTTTGAAAATACCCTGTATTTCTTCAGTCATTCCAGTTCTATCTTCTAGCACATATTTCATTAATATTTTTTATACGTAAACCAAATGCCAAATTAATTTCTTTTAGCAAAATTCCCACTAATAACCGCAATGCATTGAAGGCATTTGCGTATGAACGTTACAATGATACCAGAGCATGCATTTCTGTCTGTCTGTCTGTCTGTCTGTTTGTTTGTCTGTTTGTTTGTCTGTTTGTCTGTCTGTTTGTTTGTCACATATCAAATCTAACCTCGGACACATAAATAAAGAACAAAACTAACCGATATAATTTCTCTCTCTCTCTCTTTCCCTCTCTTTCTTTCTCACTCTCTCTCTCTCTCACTCTCTTTCTTTCTCTATCTTTTCATAGAATTACTCTTTCTTTTTCTTCCTCTTTCTTTTCTACTCTTTTTTTCTAGCGATTTATGTCTTCAACTTTTCTCTCTCTCTCACTCTCTTTCTTTCTCTCTCTCTCTCTCTCTCTCTCTCTCGTTATCTTCTTATCTATTTTTATCCATCTCTTAATATTACGTCATAAATTCATTGATAATAATTTTCATTCATCCCCTCTCATGGCATCTGACCGTCCAGCTATCTCATTCATCCAATCCATCCATCCATTCTTCCGAACGCATCAGCTCTTCGCACAGATTCAGGCGTACATAGACGTAGACACGCACACAAACACTCACACACACACACACACGCGCGCGCATACACACACATACACACATACAAACACACACACCTACACACACACACGCATAAACACACGCACACACACATATACACACATGTATGTCTGAACACGCACGCACACACAAATAAGCAGATAAACACTCATATGTGTCCACACAAGCATCTATATACACACACATAAAATCACATACATACACATTAACACATACATACACATTAACACATACATACACATTAACACATACATACACATTAACACATACATACACATTAACACATACATACAGATTAACACAGACATACACATTAATACATACAAATACATAAACACATACATACGTACTTAGTATCAC